GGGGGGGGGGTTGTTGTTGTTTAAATATGATGGGCTTTTGCAAAACTGGCTTGCTAGAGGAGCGGGAGATCTTAATGCCAACATTTGTGGTAGATCGGGGATATTCATAGGACGAAAATTTTTGTCAATTGCTTGCATGGAAGGCACGCATCAGGTCTTCCGTCCGCACAGCGTCTAAGACGGCGTACGTCATGATTGAAATACACAACAAGCACTGTATGGAGGTTAAATCCTCGAAGCCTAGCGAACAGGTTTGTGAATACACCAGAGTCAAACCCTAACTAACCTGATCAATGAACTGGAGAAAAAGTAAACATTAGATATAAAGTAACTAAGCAAGCGCTCGATACTACTAAGTTTAGTATTAAAGTAGTTTCTAGGAGCTAATAGAGCCTGATAACCCTCCTAATACTAGCAGGTTTATAAGGAACACATTGTAATCATACCTTGGCAGTAACTCGATGTCCTGGCTCTCCACAAACGGCAACGAAATTTGGGCTGCTTTATGTATACTGTTCTGCCAGGTTTTCTATTACAGTTCCTGGTGGGTATTGAGACACGTATAGTTATATGAGACTTCTTATGAATATCAGTACCTGGGTTTTAATGCTTGGATCTATTGAGATTGATCATATGCGTATCTTCAACCTCTATTAGGGATGCAATACTGAAGCGCGAGAGAGCACGATAGTAATCTGGGTCTAGTCGCTCTGGAGAATGCTCGATTACCTACAAGAACTTTAAGATATGACTCCGGTCAGAAGCAGGAATGACATCCAATGAGTCAGGCTCGTCGCGGCTGATGGGAGGAGAGGGGTTCGTCCTATTCTAAGCGCCTGCCCTGGCCCCTCGAAAACCCTCAACCATTCATTCTCGACACCACCACTTCAAGATTCACTAGGGCCAAACAACGGCCCCTTCTTCTTATCAATTTTGAAAGCGCGCGCCTAGGAGTAAAAATAATCATGGCCATTCATAGCGGGGCTCTAGCTCCAACTTCGTGTCAGAATCATGACACTTGCAAATTCGGGTACCCAAAACTAAGCGAAATAAGCCAGGCGCACTGTCTGAGCCTATATCATTGGGACTCCATTAGATTGCACCTAACTATCTGTCCAGATGACTGAAAGAGGCCGCGAGTTTACCATGTTGATTTGATTAGAGAGAGAGCCATATATAAGTTTTACATGCTGGAGGTCTGTGAAAGGGAGTTTTAGCACAACTGCATAGATCTTAACCCTAGGTAATGTAGATCGCATATTAAAACAGACAAAAGGTAAACCGAAGCCTAGTACTATAGAGCGGATTGTTGCATGCCCTGATAGTGTGTCTTGATCTGCATGATAACAATGGAGCGAATTGTACATTAACCAGGGTGTGGGGAGTAGACATGACAGTGGCTGCATAGAACCTCTGTCTGCTTTGATGGATTGAACCCAGAATAGAGACATTATTACCCTAGACAGTGTGATACGGGAGTGTGCCTTGCACTGCTTTGAACCATGCTTGTTTTTGGGGTTGCAAAACACGTGTTGCACTAATGTACAAGTAGCATGGCATCCAGCCCGAATCAGAATCCAAGAATGAACGTCATGTGTGGGTTGATTAGAGCTATTCTAATGGAGTCAACGAATATGGACTATCGCAACTCATATAGAGAAAAGAGGGCAACGGCTCGGGTATGTGGAAAGGCCGTATCGATCAGGAACAGATCCCTATCCCATATCATAGATACAATGAATTCAACAAAAGAAATATCAGCGCCGCTCTATACGATTCCCCCCAAGCTCTGCTGGCTCTGCTGGTCCCGAGAAAAGCTCTTGAGGGTTCATCTGCTTCCGTGCACTGTACAAAGGCACAGAGCTGTTGTTTGCCGCCGCCAAGGACTGGAAATATTTGGCGCGTCTCTGCCTTTCAAGCAAAGCCCATGCTACGGCGAGTAGAGCAAGAACCCCTAGTGGTACCCCAACCCCAGCGCCGATCGCGACATCGTTGTTGGACGATTGAGTTTTGGGACATTCTAGTGGGGTTTCGGTTGAGTTCGAAGGTAGGGGAGTTTCGATCGTATTGTTTGTCGTGGTTGATGCTTGCTCGTAGTTTTCGAGAAGGGCGACTCCTGGAACGATGGTCGCACTCGACAGGGTAAACGGGTCGAGGTCCCAGGCGCATCTAGGCAGGAATCCGGTATTGTTGTTTTGGATCGAGTTGCAGCAGTAGAAGGAGCCTTCTGCTGTATTGTTATACATCACAATAGTGCATCCGCCGTTGAGTTGAACATTCGCTTTGCAGGCATGAGTCAGAAGAGGCGGTTACCTCGACGGAAACGGAGTCTTACTGCAGGCTTTGGGACATTCATCAATTTCGAAGTTAGGATCAGTACAGCTTCCGCGCGAGAGCCCAAAAGGCTGAGAAACACCGAGGCAAAGACCGTTCGAAAGGCATATTGCGCCCTGACCGCAGCATGCGCTATTGGGACCCGATTGACATTGCACGTCCCCTGTCGCAGGACTTCCGTTCGGGTAATAGCAAGTCGCAGTAGACAGTCCAAGATAAATCGCAGGGCACAGGAGCCGCAGCAAGAGGGTGCAAAGTGACGCAAGTCGAGGCATTTCCCACGGTGGCACCCGAGCACCAAGGGAGCATGGAAGACAAGAGGGAGCAGTTCGGATGACGGAGTGAGAATATCACAGCAGGCTCTGAGGGGTGGCCATGGGGAAGGCCTCAAGCGCTCCACTTAAGAGGTGCGAATGGGCCAAGCAGCTAATATTATCCCACTGTTGCCAAAAGCATCCAAGTCTGTACATTTCATCTCCCATGCAGATTTAGCGCTCGACTCGCCTGGACTAGGACGAGATTGTGTGGACGGAAGGAACGCAAAAGTCAGGATAACCGGCTCAGGGGTTAAGCGGCCAAAGGGGGGTTGGGTGGGTAATCAGGTTGGAACCGAGTCACAGCGAGTCAAGGATTCGCCAGCACGAGGAGATGAAAGAAAGTGGTTGGATAGAGAATCCCAACAGTACGGTTCACTAAATTATATGGCAAATCACAGGCAAAGATCACCCCAGGATCATGTAACCCTGATCACCCAGTCACATCTGCCGCGCCCTTCAGTTCTCCGTATCGTGAGCTTTCCGGGGATGAGGAGGCGCTCTCCAGAGCAAAATATGCAGTATGCCCTCGCTTTCGACATGACTTTTAAGTATAGTTGGGCAATGTGGATTCCTACTCTCCAATCCCTTTGACTCCGGCCCGTGTGAGTCTTAGCGCCGGGCTCCATCCTCTAGTGGATCTGCCTTTACCGTTTTCAGCTCTAGTTTCTTGTTGAGTTTGAACTTTTGCCTTAGCGCTAACATTGCTTTTTATTTTCTGGGTTGCGGATCCATCGCTGTTTTAGGCCCAGATAACGAGTCGAACCTGGGGCGGCTACGACGGCTCTCGCCCATCCGAGACTCGAATCAGGCACCAAGGTCTCCCGTGGCGCATGTTTCTCTCCAATGGGATATCATCAATGGGTACTAATACACTGCACCTCTGACGCAAGATGTTGGGTCCCTCCACCATCCGTCCGTTCCCGTCCGCCAGTTCGCCGAGGGGATCGGCATCTCTTAAGCGCCTGGACTCACCATCTGCGATCTCAGAGCTGAGGCTCACCGGGTGCCTTGGGATTTTCTCTTAAACCACGTTGTGCAACATGATCAATGGCTTTTCCACCTTGTCAACTCGTCTCATGGCTCTTTCTCGCCGTCATATATGGCTGTGGTGCCTGTTCTTAACCCTAGTATTCTTTTTAGTGACTTGGACTCTCCCATTTGAACCGCCGGGGCTTACTCTCCATATTTCTGCCTGGTCCTCCGATTCGGTTTTAAGACCAGAAGATAATGCTGGAAATTCCCGCCAGTTCATGCCGTCTGACGACAGTGCACCTGGAGCACATGAACCGATAGGGCTGGGGACACTGCGTGATGTGAGGTATGTAATCACTTGCACAAGTCTCCCAGGCTCGCTGGGTTGACCTACCTGGACTCTTAGGGAAGAGAGCTTCTATCTTGGAGGAACGTCGACGATAAAAACTGTGGATGGGTCTCCTCCAAAGGCCGCGGTGTACGACCCATATCCAGATTACAATGCGGGAGAACGGCACAGGCAGGGGAAAGGAACCTTCCAAGCTTGTGAAGGCCCAAGAAAAAATATCTTGAGCCGACGGAGTCGTGATGATATGGTCATAGCTTACAATGGGGTCCAAGAAGGTATTGCGCACACTATCCTTGACATAGGCCTGCCTAACGGGTGTATTTCATAGGTTTTCCCTTTCCAAAGTATGGCTCATACGAGGCCCTTGGGTTAGATGCATACTCGTGTACCACACGCTTTTCTCGCCTCGGTCTATACGGAAACAATAGTTCAACCTCTGATCCTAACGCTGAAAAACAGGGTCTTGGCACCCGGGTTCAAGTTGAATGGGATGCGGTCAACTGGGGGACGCTCCAATCTAAGTGTCTTGTGAAGAACATCGGCAGGTACGACGTGTCGGAAATCGCCCCCGTCAGACATGTTCTTTCATTACAAACCCCCAAGAAGGTGCCACGAGACGATAGCCGCGACAGATCCTCTCTCTCGTACGGAACAAGGACGGCTGTTATTCTACGCGCGTGGCATGACATGGAGTGGACGGACAACATGCGGCAACATGTTCGGTCTCTCATCATGGAGCTTGCCTTACAATCTGGAGCCGAGTATGAGGTGTTCCTGCTTACCCATCTGAAAGACAACGATATTCTTTTGTATGGCCCAGACGGAGATGATAATGCTCAGAGGTTGAAAGAGAAGTATATCCCCCGCGAGTTCTGGGATATAACGGTCTTCTTCAACGAAGAGACCTTGGAGTTGTCGTATCCCAGGGTGGAGGAGCACAAGTATGATATTTCCCCCTGCCGGCGTCTATCATCCTCGAGTCTCTTGTGCTCCCTGAAGCTAACAGATTTTAGGCCTGTTTATCAGCACCTACAGCCACTCCAGATATTCTCGGTCGCGTTTCCGGGATTCGACTACTACTGGCAATTCGAGATGGATGTCCGTTTGACGGGGCATGCGTACCACTTCTTTGAACGTGCACGCGAGTTTGCAAAGCAGCAGCCGAGAAAGTATCTTTGGGAGCGCAATGCCTACATCTATATCCCTGGCGCTCATGGAACATGGGAGGATTTCCGACGAATGGTCCACGATTCTATGACCGACAAGGAGACAGTATGGGGGCCAACTTCTTCCCATCCCTGGCTTGACCCGGTCGGCCCCAAACCGCCAGTGGCTCGCCCCGAGGATGACGATTATAGCTGGGGTGTCGATGAAGAAGCCGATCTTATTAAGTTTTTGCCCATCTTCGACCCGTCCGAAACGAACTGGATATTTTCGAACGTGCTCTGGAATCTCCCTGAGCAGACTCCTCGGCGAGCCTCGCCGGTCACAATGGGCAGGTTTTCGAGAAAGTTACTTCACTCCATACACGAGGCACAAGCTGAAGAGGGAGTAGCTTTAGTGTCGGAGATGACAGCTTCGTCCTTTGCGCTCTGGCACGGCCTAAAGGCTGTCCATGTACCCCAACCGCTCTACGCCGATGGGAAATGGACGCCCAAGGAACTATCGAGAATCGTCAATAAAGGACCGCCGGAGAAGATGAATGGCAAATCCGACAGTATTTGGAATTGGGACCACAAGTTCGATCACATTTTATATCGTATGAGCTACATGTTTACCGCGCAAACGGCAGAGGACTTCTACAGAAGATGGCTAGGATACAAGCCAGACCCCAACCAGTATACAGATGGTAGCTACGTGAGTGCTCTTTTCATTCTTCCACCTGCTGGCCGCTCTGCGACTCCATGCTGATAATCTCATTTAGCACCAAGATCCACAAGGGAGGAATTGGTTTGATGGCGGGAACCTGGTAAGTCGAACCACCCTCACTTTCTTCATTTAGTGATAGCAAGTTGCTGACGGACGATTCAGAGAGAGGATCTATACGGCCCGCTTTGCCTTCCATCGATGCTCCTCCATCCCGTTAAGAATACTGCTCCACAGAAAGGCCATGATATGGCGGTCCCGGTATAGCGGGAAACTCAACCGGATGTATAATATCACAACCAGGCAGAACGATTGGGTAGCCAAGAGCGCGCTGGAAGCACCTGGGCACATCTCAGATTGTATGATATAGATAGATTGGATTTAGCGATTCTATAGCAGTTCTTGATAAGACTAATTCATGCAAGAAGATGTTGATGGACGGTATAATAATAAATATAAGGTATGAACAGCGATGAGAGAATTCTTTACTTTATAGTCCTTAAGGTGATGGGTAAAGCTACTCAACAATTTAAACAAAATTTAAACCAATAGGACGGGTTCTAAGATACGTAACGAGGGCCTGCATATGACCATATTCTATAGTCTCCTTAGTTTTATATAAATGCTGATTAGCAGGACATGTTGACATATACTCACGCCTATGAAAGCTTCTAGATACTCTTAGGGAAGGAACCATGGGCGACAACCTCGACAAGAACTTCCGATCATCATGAAACGTCCCGAGTCTTCACCACAAGTGTCCTCTTGTAGCCGTCTGTATCGACACGTGGTAGGTCCAGTGGAACTTCATTTCATCCTGCATCTTCTAGTCTTCCCTACAGTAATATCACTGCAACCCCAAAGTAACAAGGTCTATTAATCCAAACTTCCACTAGAAGAAGCACGCTCGTGACCTCATCCGTCGCACCCGCACGACCCATCGGCGCCCCCTCAATCTGCCTCCGATAGTACTCCGCGTGTGGCCCTGCCAGCGCAGCACGGCCCATGGCAGTCGTAAGAGCATCAGGACTCACCAAATTAATCCTCGCCCCCGTAAGCGCCCACGCCCGCATAGAAGTCTGCACGCGCAGTATATTTACGCGCTTTATAATTAAATACACAGTTTCTATATATAACTTAAGCTCCTTGTGGCCAAGTAGCAAGTCTAGTAGTATAAGCATAAGATATTATTTTAGTGCTAGTAAGATATTACTAGTAAAGTAGCTTGTAATACTTAAAATCTAGATTATAAATATTTAGGCGCTAACATGTGCCTGGAATATAGAGTTAATATTTACTATATGGAGGTTATTAATGGCTAGGATCTGCTATATAGTTACCTAGTCTTTTACGTTGGCAGCGATGCGGATAACTATTAACAGGTTAGAGCCAGGTACTACTATAGCGCGGGCAAACTCTTACACCGTATTATACCTGGTCACGTTGACGGGATGCGTCTCGACGTCGTGACCATCTGCGGTAAGGCTGTCGGCGGCATGCTTGAGGGATCTGGCGAGATGTGTACAAGGAGACAGCATCTGGCGCTGAGTCTACGTGCAATTGCGAGGCCAATTCCGCTGACTACTAGGATAGTAATGCGGGGGGCGAGCATGGTGACACGACTCAGCAGAGTAAAGCAGATCAAATTGCTGGTGTTGAAAAGACAGCTCGTAGGCTGGGGTGGGATTCGCGGAACGAAGAGCAGTTAGGCCTGAAACAGCTGCTTCAGCCAGTATACGGATGCCATCTTTCCACACAGGCTGCAGTGCCGCGTAATATATAGACAGCCCTAGGTGTCCATAACCGCTGTTTCTGGGCGATATAGTCGCTTGATGACTGTCCGGGAGAAACTGTAAGCCAAGCTAGCACTAACAGAGGGCTCATGTTGGAGACTGACCTGCACGCCTCCACGATCTCTTCATTTGGCCGGGGGATTTGAGTACTTGAGGGCCGACGGGCTGGTGCCTGCAGGGCCAATCATGCTGCGGCGCTGATCTGAGCAGAATGCAGGGCGGATCCTGGCTGGTACCGAGTTTCGGATTATTCCTTTGTTGAACCTCATCTCTTTCTCAAAGCTGTATTACTTTCAAGTTTTGTTCACGATAACAAGGAAAGCACCAAATATGCTTCCTTCTTATTCTCCTTTTGGTCCTCAATATGGTCTACTACGCGTATGACTCTTGTTTATTCTTGGCGTACCCTTTGTCTCCTGGTAACTCATGAAAGACCTCGATTGTCAGACGTTGAAAAAAATATTGAGACCGTCAGGGAGACCCATCCCGTGGACAAGTCCGCAAACCAAGCTGATTTTACTCTTACGGTCCAGTATCAAATAGACCTCGATATTGTCGGTGTCGGTGCAGCTGGCCAAGTCTACAATATTGATGATTGTATCGTTTTGAAGGCGTGCAGGATATATGTGCCTCCTTCAAGTAAGGCCGCCTCACGTACCCTGTGGGATTATGCCTCAGAGTCCATCTTCCATTTCGGCCTAATAGAAGATGAGAAAACTGGTTTTCGCCTGCTTTCGCAGCACCCTCATCCAAATATCATTGACGCCATTGATACCAGCCATCCTGAAGGCATCTATCTCCGCAAATATCAACCATTCCCCCTAACTGGGCTGCCTCCTCAATTGGACCGGATTCTTTGGTACTAGGACATTATACGAGCGCTTCTCCACCTTCACAGACTTCGTATCACACATTCAGATTTACGGAAGGATAATATACTCTTGGATGGACAAGGACATGTATTACTTGGTGATTTTGGTGCTAGTTGTCCCTTTGGATACCCAAATCCATCTCTTCTAGTCCTCCTTAATGGCCCGTCAGAGACCGTCTCAGATGCGACCAACAGATCTGCCATGGCTTCACTAATCTACGAGGTGGAAATTGGCGTCCCACTAAAGATACTTCTTGACGATTGCAATGAACTTTTTTTACCCCTAGTTCATACCGGCCACATCGGTCTCGACTCTTTAAGCAAGAATGCGTGGCGTGGGCAGTATGCCTCTACAGTAGAGATGCTGGCACACGCACAAAGCCTGCTTGACAATGAAGACATGCGCGGGCAGGCCCAACATCATTTTTCAAATGAAGAATTATTATCGCGGATTGTGCAGTGGAGGAAGAATCAAAAGGAGTAGCATGGTAGATTAACTTTCAACCTTGTTGTGTAAAGAGCTTGCTAACATGAAGCATCAGGACGTATCCTCTATTCTTTACCAACAGAGAAACAACTGCAAAGTTTAGCAGTGCGTTATGGCTGGGATATGGATGGAGAGAGGCGTTTCCATGGTCATCAGCAAAAAACCTGACCAAAACTAAGTCGTAAATCGATAGAACCAGTAATAGTGACGTCTAACGTTTGGGTAAGTGGTATAGGCACGGTCACTGAAGGGGAGGCGGGTATACAGAGGTACAAAGCATTCACTGTATCTAATTTGACCGCCTGCAATGGAAAAAGTGCAAGTTTCTCGGTTGATCGCTACTAAGCCTGATACAAGATGCCCACTATCCGACCCCGATATGGTGGGGTTAAGAGATCACTCTGGATTACAGCTGTTGAGTAAAGAGGATGCCGGTACATATTGTAAGAAGCTTCGGTAGCAGAGTTGTTTGCTGATTTTATTTATTGTACTGGTGTATAGATATCCAACTGTTCATGTGCTTCGGACAGGCCTATAAGAACCTCAAATGTTTTTGGTCTTTTCAACATTGAATGTTTCGTCCAATGGTATACAACTCAAATGAAGCCTCTTCAAGCCCCGCTGCGCCCTCCAAAAATTGCTCGCCAAAATAGTCTCTGGACACCCCTGGATAACCCGCGACCACTTTTGAACAAACAACTCGGAGACCTCCCAGTTCTGTGACATCCACGGATCGCCCCATACCATCATCCCGACATCCCCGTTTGCAGGATCCATGATATCAGTACACAAATCACACTCGTTGAATAGCCGGGCGACACGAATGATATTATCCCGAGCCTGCGGGAAGGGAAAGCAATCCAGCCAGGGGTGATGTGGGACGTGGATCTGAACAACTGTTGGGGCGAGAGCTGGAGGGACGTTCCAAGAAGGACGAGCGCCTGCAGTGCCTATGAGGGCAGAATTAAAGGGAGAAAGGATATCATCGTCCATTTCCCGCAGCGCTAAGCCAAGGACGGTGAGATTTTGTATGAACGCACGTCAGGATGTTGAACTTGGTTAGGGTCATGCGGTGGTCCAGACACGGGTTCCCGGCGTAGTACCGAGCGTAGGCGGCTTCGTCAAAGTGCGCCATCATGGCCGTGGCTTCAGTGAGCGATGCGGGTTGGTGGTATTTTAGGCCCTCGGCCGCCCTCGGGAGGATGAGGGTTTGTTTTCGACTACTCCTTGCCAGCTTGACTGCTGCTTTCTGCTGGTTGCGGACGACTTTCTGTCTTTCTCCTGGGATGAGGGTCAGCGTTAGTGGGACTTTTTAAGAGATCGGAGACTACGGCGACCCCTGTCCAGTCTTCATCAGGCTGACGAATCCGCGCCCGAGATGAAATTGGGCAAGTAGGGATGTCTCTATTTAGCATTTTGCTTGCATTAAGTACGGGATGGATAGATAACAGCAAGAAGATAGACTTTAACTAGGATTTTCTATTTTTGCCTCGGCTAATGTCCCGAGAGCCAAGTGGGGACCGGGAACTGGTGGGCCCACTAGGTATTATGGATTCCCGCCTTGCTAACGCAAAATCAGCCAATCAAGATTGAGTATCCCTGCCAGGGGTGATTAAGGTTGTTCAAACTGGATCTACTTAAACTTTTCAAGTATAAAATATGTGCGTGGCGGAACTCTGCTCTGTAAATTCCAGACCAATATTAAATCTTCCTTAAATCACACCTCGAATGAAATATGCCTACGTTCTCCAGCCAGGACATCCCCGACCTCCATGACCAAGTAATCATCGTCACCGGGGGCAACGCCGGCCTCGGATACAAGACCGTCTGCCAACTCAGCCTGCACAACCCAGCGCGCGTTTACCTCGCCGCGCGATTAAAGGACAAGGCTACCATGACCATCAAGGACCTGCAAGAGACAAATCTAGGGGTTGCTGATGTCCAATTCCTCTACCTCGACCTTGCTCTATTTAAGAGCGTGAAAGCGGCCGCCGCAGAGTTTCTCAGCAAAGAATCTTACTTGGATATCCTCGTTAATAATACCGGAATCATGATGACGCCCGAGGGGCTCACCGAGGAAGGGTTCGAGATCCAATTCGGGACAAACGTCATGGGCCCGGCACTCTTCAGGCGCTGACTCTATAGTCTTACTAGACTTGTTATCCAAATTCCTCACAAACTTGAATACTAAAGGCGAAAGTATTAGATGGTTATACAAGCGCGCGCTAGAAAGCTAATAGGGTATCCATGGGATCGATTCCTAGGTTCCCCAGGCGACGACAGTCGATGAACTGACCCTTGGTAAAGCCCGCCTGCCAGGTGGGCATCCAGGGAGGTAATCTCGCCTGAGTTAAGACAAAACAATCAGAATGTCATGTCATACTCTTCCTGTAGCCCGGGATCGAGTATGGCAGTTTCACAGACGGGTTGACCTTGCCCCCAGAGGACATCAACAATTACGTTGCTGGATTCCTGCCCCCGGGAAATGCGCTGCGAGGATTCTGGTTACGTTTGGGTGGTGTGCCTAGGGCAGGGTGTGTGTGGTGTTTACGCCGGCAGAGTGCGTCGTCACCACGATTGTATTCGAGCAACGGCTGACATTTTTAATGAGTTAACCTCAACTATCTACTTGCTAAGCCAGGTGATCGTGTCGCAGCGTTCCATGAAATGTGCACCCCTGGTGTCTCGTATGCTGAGTACGCAATTGCATGGAGTCATACAACATTCAATTTGCCCAAACACACCTCATTTGAAGGTGCGTCCAAAGCAGCTGTGTTCGGATTCATTCGAACGTATCTAACCGGGCTTAATAAAAGCCGCAACGATCCCACTTGCCGCCTTGACCGCCGCTGTTTCCTTATATGCGCACCATCGCTTCCCACCTCCGTGGGGACCTGCGGTGAGGCCGATCCCACTTATTATTTAAGGTGCAAGCACCGCTGTTGGGCCATATGCTATCAAAATGGCAAGCAACAGTTACATCCATCCTATCATTGCTATTGTAGGAAGGGGATCTCAGTATGTGGAGGGCCTCCTCGATAAAGGCAAAGGTGATACGGTAGTTGACTACCGTAACGGAGTTGAGTCAACGGTCAAGGGAATTAGAAGCAGCCTTGAAGGAACGGGCCATTCTGTTGCGCATCACGCAATTGATGCTGTTATATTTCCAGAGAGCGCGGAGGTCTTAAAGCAGTCAGTCACCCCGGGTGGACAGATTGATTTTATACTGCTGAACGATATGGACGTGTCACCTGGAATAAAGTTGATCACTTCTGTCAGACCAGTGCACAATCAGCTCGAGTTTAAGAATAATGAGGAATTAGGCTTTATATTCTCCCGGTATTTCACCAGGGCACTACAAGACAGCAGCTTCTCCAGCCATTTCTTTGAACTTCGAGCGGGTGGCTTAGAAGGTGTTGAGGAAGCCTTGAAAGACTTGAAGGCTGGAAAAGCAAGCGCTGTTAAGTAGGTTTTTCGCATTGCAGATACACCAGGGATTGTTTCCATTCATGGAAATAGCCTTCATAATACTAACCACTTGGAGATATCGAAAGAGCAGGGACTTGCATTTCAAACTATTGACCTAGCTGCCAAAAATGATAATTTGAAATCTAGATGTTTTTAGCTTTTCACTGTACTAAGGTGGTACTAAATTGACGGCAATTCCAGTTACCGCGACATAGCCGACAATGACCTGAGATTTCTTAGCAGTATCAAAGATATAAGAGACGTCTAAACCCACTCCAGTGCCGGTTATATCAGGATCAACTTCAATTTTCTTGTGGCGTGCTGAGCAGCCGTAGCTACAACCCCAGATCATTCTGAAGCTACGGATGAGACGATCAACTACGGATAGACTAAATCCAGAGGGAATATCACTGCTTAGAAATGCAGCGAGCAAAAGTGCAAAAGTCGGCTCTTATGTTCCTGATGAGGTGAGCTTTTTCAGAATTTGGGCGCTTTCAAGTCAGAAAGCCATGTAGAAAGGGAGTTACCGTGTCGGCTTGTGACGCACAGACCGGTGTCTGATCACCCTTGCCAGCCTCAGCTTGTAAGACGCCTTATAGCGTATTATGCTAGCAACAGACAGCGGACAAGGCAAAGCACGAGCAGTCGATAAATTTACAGACAGTAGAGTGGTGATCAAAAGGGATTTGGTCAGACAACAGCGCCTCTTTCTAGTCAGGCTACAATATTATCAAAGACTTAAGTCGGTCACATATAGTCAAGAAACCAGAAGACTTACAGAACGAAGACCGAAGACCGAAGACCGAAGAATAATACTCAAAACCGTAGTCATTTTACACAAAAGCACTATGAATCAGGTAGATATAAGCTGAAAGTACATACTTTATGTAGTTTAATGCACTTCTCCGTACTAAACTTGAAGTCACTTCCTTAAAATCCGCACTCAGCTTTCAACCAGGACACAATCAAACGAGTAAGCATGATCCGCGACGTCAGGAAGTATTCGTCAGGTCCAAGGATAGCCTGTGAAAATTTCTTGGCGCCTAAGTTCTGCATTGTATCGATAAGGGGCTGATGGATGTTCTTCAGGTGCACACGATTAGGGGTCGCTATCAATAGCACATTCTTGTCAACGAGCTTCGAGGCCGCCTTGTGCATGTCCATGCGGTCGTAGTCCGCTGGAGACATCCTTTCCAGCTCAGAGTTGAGGTCGATACGCCCGGCAGTCGATTCTTTCAAATCGGCGAATACTTTGGCATAGTCGTCTGGTATTGGAGGAGATAATAGGATAGGGCAGACCGAGATCACAGTGTTGAGCGCGGTGTTTTCGGCGGCCCCTATCCAACCGACTGCACCACCACCGCCACTTTTACCGAGGACGGCGATTCGGTCTGTGTCGATCAGAAAACTGCGCGGTAGAGGTGTCGTGCCAGGTGGGGTGGTGTGCCGGCCATCATCTTTTCGTAGAAAGGCCACGGCCGAGTGCAGGTCTTCGACTGCGCTCATGAGAGAATAGTCATGTTCGTTATCCCACATCCCACGCGGGTTGAAGCGCAGGACATTGATACCCGCGCCCACCAAGGCCGGAACAAGACTGTCCAGACAGTCACCGCCATAGCGTTGCGGAGCAAGAATAACGCACCCCTTGGTCTCCCTGCCATTGGCAAGCCACATGAACGACTGGATGGGCTTGCCATTGCTCATAAAGACGTGAGGAAAATGGATAGGCGGAAAGTCGGGATCATATAAGGCGGAGTCTGTTGTCGCATAATCGGTCCCGAGGGCAACGGGCCTATATTCCTTTGCGCCGCAGTCTTGTTTCATTTCAATGATCCAATGCAAGCGTGTTTCTGGGTAAAAGTGTAACAAAATGGGTTGATTGACTAGCTAGATGAGTCTGCGAGAAGAGATCTCAGGAAATATAAATAATGTAAGTGCTAAGACCAGTCATGTCGCTACATTACTTACGCGCGTGAAGCTAGGTAGCAAGGAGTAGAAGTCGGGGTTAGTTCAACTCTCAACACCGGGACCACACCGGCCTCCCACACCGGACTCCCACCCAGAACCCAGATTGTTTGTAACCATCTTTCTTCCGCACGTAAAGCTAGGTAGCAAGGAGAGAAGTCAGGGCTAGTTTAACTCTTAACACTAGGACTGATACCGGGACCGGACCGGTCTTTGGAGTAGTCAGGACCACACCACAGTCCCCCATGGCCCTTGCAGTCACCCCACGGGGCCCCGTGTAGTTTGTAATTATTCATAATCAGTTTCCTTTTTAGCTGCATAAATTAATAATTCAAAGGAAACAACAGTAGATTGTTTATCAATCATATATAAATCATGTTGTTTTCTATATTGGTCTTGTTTATAGGTGCGCAAGACTGGACCGGTCTCCTGCCGGGGTCAAGTCAGGAGTGTAACAATTAACGTGGCTTCGATTTCTGTTTACAATCTACTTAGCATTGGACGAGATAATGGCATGTTGTAAGGGTGGTATAGAGATAGGAGAATACAAATGAATTGAGATTAGTGAGTGAGTGAATGAGGTTCCTGATTGGATGTAGATAAACCTATAGTTGGAGCATCTACAATAGGGCCAGCGATAGGCACATTTTGGCGGCACTAGTCCCCCCGTCACTTTACGTTCTTAAGATAGGATATCGGATTGCTCTGAGTCTTCAAGATAGGCGGACCGGGTCCGTTCGAGCTTTGATTCTTGACCGGCCCGTCTACGGCCACCTGGTGGCTCGATTTTCACTCCACCTAGCTGTGAATTTGCTGGTAATGAAGCGATTGGATTAGCGATGATAGGTATTCGCATCTTGAGTAGGCTTCTACGAACATTATCCTATAAAGTCCAGCCTACCCCTGAGGTTAACCACGACATAATCCAGAACAATTCACTCTTCGATCGATCTGCAGATATCGTACGCGATGGATTCCTCAACGGTGCCGAGGACGTATCCCCGTCACTATGTTTCTAAGTTGGTGCCGAGCTCTGCGGCTAGCATCACGATTCTCCTCATCGCAGCATCTGTTGTGGACTCGGTCGTATGCGTCAACCCTGATCAAGGCCTTATGATATACTGATCAGATCTTGCAGCTCCTTGGTTACGATAGCTCCCTCATGGGTAGCTTAAACGTCATGCCGACGTATTTGGGTTACTTTACCCTCACGACGGCCACAAAGTCGCTGAACACAGCCATCTCGTATGTCGGTGGAGCTTGCGCCGCAGTCCCAGCCGGTTTCGTCACCGATTGGCGTGGACGCCGCGAGACTATCTATTGGAGCTGCCCCATCACGTTGATCGGCGCCGGCATCCAGAGCGCGGCGCAAAATATTGGCATGTTCATCGCCGGCCGCTTTATTCTCGGATTTGGCATGGCTTTTGCCACGACCGCGGCGCCGACCTACGTCTCCGAAACGGTACCGCAAAAGTGGCGGGGGCTTGCCCTGGGCTTGTATTATTCGTGCTGGTGTGAGTTGTGACAGTCTCTCTCCCTCGTGCATCCGACTGATAGTAAACCTCTGCAAGGTGTGGGCACTCTGATCGCATCTGGAGTGTGTTATCGTGTAAGCTCCCATTGGGCCCTCTCCCGCATGCACTAACGCAATCTCAGAGCCAATACATCCCATCAACCTGGGCCTGGCGACTTCCCAGCGTTCTTATGGTCATCTGGTCGATCCTTTGCGCGGTGGTCCTGCTTTTCGTTCCCGAGTCACCTCGCTGGCTCATTGCGAAAGATCGAGGCGATGAGGCGCTTGAAGTTCTAGCTCTTGTTAATGCCAATGGCGACAAGTCGGACCCGGCTGTTCTGCTTCAGTACCGCGAGATCAGCGACACTATCGCCTGGGAGAAGGGCGAGGGCCGGCAGCTCACGCTTCGTGAGGCGTGCACCAATCCTGGAAATCGGAAACGGCTTATTATCACCGTGGCATTCTCCGCTATGAACATGTTTTCCGGTAATAACGTTATTGCGTACTACTTCGGCACGATGCTGGCGCAGGCTGGCATCACGTCCGCGACCACGCAGCTCGAGATCAACGTCATCTTGAACGCCTTTGCGCTGACCATCGCTGTCCTTGGGTCGATCTTCGTTGACAAGGTCTCACGCAAGGGGCTCTGCGTGTGGTCTCTAGTAGGCCAAATCGTCGCATTCTATATTTTTGCTGGCCTCTCGGCGAAATACGGCAATTCGACGGATAAGTCGGGCATCTACGCGACCATCGCCATGTTATTCATATTCATCGGGGCGTATGCTTATGGGATGACACCTTTAACAGTTCTGTGGCCGCCTGAGGTGCTGTCGTACCGGCTCCGTGCCACCGGCATGGGACTTTATACCCTCACATCCGTACGCACATCCCCAACAATTCCCCTTGCAGACAGCTAACCTCGAATAGCGACTCGGCGGCCTGTTCATCACCATGGTCTTTCCTTTCGGCCTGGGCGCCATCGGGTGGAAGATGTGGGTCATTAACGCCTCGGTCGACATCCTGATGGTCATCTTTGTGATCTACTACTTCGTCGAGACCGGCGGCCTCACGCTCGAGGAGGTCGACTCGCGGTTCGATGGCGAGAAGCACTCGTCTGTGCCAGATCTGCACGACCTACAGAAAGTGTTGGAGGAGGAGTCTGGGAAGGCGATATGGTTGACGGAGGGCGTCCCGGTACCTGTTGAGGAAAGTGTTGCTGTGAACACGGTCGACGGAAAGGGCAAGGTCGCGTGAAGCGCCCCAGGAGATATAGAGATAGGGACAGCCTTGAAGCTTTTTCTGAGATCTTTCGGGTACAGGCAAGGTGCATTTCCGCTTTGACTTTTGGGGAGAATTTGCCGTGGACGAGGTATTGGGAAATGATTGTATGTTCGATGCTTGCCCTTGGAATTATTGCTTATTCCTGCCTTTTCCTCTTCGTAATCTGCAAACATAGCTGTAAACTTTACATGGCACTACTGTTATAAACAAGGCCAATATAGAAAACAACATGATTTATATATGATTGATAAACAATCTACTGTTGTTTCCTTTGCATTATTGATTTATGCAGCCAAAAAGGAAACTGATTATGAATAATTACAAACTGCAGGGTGCCCCGTGGGGTAACTACAAGGACCCTGGGGGACCATGGCGACCATGGTGCAGTCCTAACTATTTTAAAAAAAGACTAAAGACCGGTCCGGTCCCGGTACCAGTCCCGGTGTTAAGAGTTTAACTAGCCCTGACTTCTTATCCTTGCTACCTAGCTTTACGCGCGGAAGAAAGATGATTACAAACAATCTGGGTTCTGGGTGGGAGTCCGGTGTGGGAGGCCGGTGTGGGAGGTCCGATGTGGGAGGTCCGGGTGAGTGGGATTTCTGTTTGCAGTCATCTCACAACAGCTTGCATCTTTGTAAAATTTGACCGTGGCAATTATTGGGCGGATTTCCGTCGTGAGAGAGCAGAATCTGAGCGGATGACCAGCGGATAGCAGCGGTTTACGGGAGCAGAAAAGGAATAAATAATTCATGAATTGATGACAATGAAGCCTGGGGGTCCAGCGATCGTCTAAACTTCGGACATTTTGGGTTTCTGCCGGATGGATTATCTACCAGCTTCTGATAACTAACTAGGTAGCGCTGTCTGGATAAACAGCTGCATCCTTGCTTACAGTGTTTCAGTTCATTGTTTTGGCCTGATCAGCGTTTTGTTATATATATCAGCGTCACGCACATAATACTCACGCCTTGATTTGTGTACCTCTCTTGTTCCCTTCAAAAGTCCTGTCCTAATACATAGCAACTTAATTCTACTCCTTCAACCTGGTCATCATGGCTGAAAAGGCTCACACCGACGGCTTGACCCAAGTCCCAATTGTTGCGGGCGAAGTCCCATCTGCCACCACGATGGTCTCTGGGCCGGCGGGCACAATCCCAACGATTTCTTCTCCTCCGTCGACAAGGGTGTCCTCATCGATCTCTCATCTTTGAATGCGAAATTGTATGACCTGGAAACCGAGCTGGCGACTTACGGACCGGGGTGGGGCGCGTGGGTGGGGGGGGATCTTGGGCGATATTTATGATTACTTTCTGCAATAGAACCGCACAGTCGTTAGTGCGCGTCTGTCTGTGTTAGGACCGGCCCTGCTCTCTTCAGTGGGCCTTCCTCCTTATCCACTTAATATAGTCTAGCATGCAACTCCTTCTGTAAGCTTAAGGTTATTACACCAACCAGTGAAATTATCACAGCCTCTAATATACAAACCTAGACCTCTTTTTTGCCCTCTACGGCAGCGGTGGGAACGCCTATAGTATTATAATAAAGTATACCGTGCAGTCCCGGCCAGCAGGGATATTCTATGCTAGTGTTATAGCCTACCTTTTCTAGTAGAACGTGGCCATGCATAATATAATTAGTAACTTTATCCAGTACAACAAAGACCCCAAGGCTATAATTATAGGCATGTATATTAAACTCCTAACGCCTGATCTTTTACTTAACCTTAACAAGGCAATTACTACGCTCCTTGTGTATAATGGGCCTGATGTGGGCGATATATTTAAGAATTTTATGGATATCCTATATCTCATAAATATGCTTAATTACCTGGACTACAGCAGTGTTGTGAATATGCCTTTCCCCAGGGGCGTGGAGCTAAGTAAGAGGCGGAACACCGTCTATATGATAGTACAACCAGGTAAAGATAAGGGGATAATATACTCTTAATAATCTATGATAACTGGCACGAGTGGAGTGTGAAAAATAAGGGGAAATACCTTCTTACCTTACTTAATGTCCAGCCCATCCTGAAATTGCTTATAGACGCTTTAAATATGTACCTTGGTGGCAATGTAATGCAGATGCCTGATAGGCTGTTTTACTGGGTGAACTACCTGTTTATAGCGTTGCTGCTTCTCTTGGCAGATAATTATAAGAAGGTCCAGGATAGTTTTAAGAAATTAGTTAGTCCTGTTCCAGCAGGCAAGGAGCTGCTGCTTTTTATTAATAATACGATGCTGGACCAGAATCCGCTTGTTATGTATGGTAGGTATGAGCGGTTGAAGGAGGTTAAAGCGAAGGATGATGTGGATGGGCTTTTCAGCAGTTATACCGGGGGTGGGAGTTTCCTTGATTGGCTCTGCTCCTGGGTGTCCGTGCGGATGTAAATGACGATGCTGGTATATATATGCTCGATTTTGTACATACGCTGGTTTGGGGTTTGTTTTTGAGTACTGGATTAGTGAGAGAATAAAGGACTTTATTTATCAAACTGCGATATCAAAGCCTGCATAGATGGAGGCGCATTCAAGTAGACATATTGATCAGACACTAATACCAGTAAATGGTAGGAGCGAACCCTTATAAGCCGGGCGTCAACATGTTATGACCTACTTTGGTGCTTGCTTCCCCAAAGGACCGCCATTAAAGGCCAGGGTGTCTGCGGGGAAGATCATACTTTATTGGCAAAAGAGCTTGGACAAATCTTAAATTCTCATCAAAGGCTTGGGGTCTTGGAATGCTGGAGACAAGTGCCATGCCTGGAATTCAGCATCACCCGCATGAACCATTAAGTCAAAATATTTGGCCAGGCACAACCATTCAGCCACAAGTGCAGCCAACAACTAGTATTTATACTCAGGAGCTAGGAATATTACTTGATCTACAGTAAAAATACCTAAAATACCTTCACCAAGCCAACCAGCAACAATGCAAGCCACCAAGCCACTCACGCTGTTTTTTAACCCAGTCAAGTTTGCCCGGCCCTTCTACAAGCAGCTCCAAAAGGTTGCTCGTACAGGAGAGGTAACTTCTTAAAGTTAGTCAGAATTCTTCCAGGATCTCCAGGACAAGTACAGGAATATCTTTGCCATCTACCAAACGTCATCCAGTGGCGCTGTAAGCTTGCTCGATGCTCTGACAACTAATGTTTCAAAACTGGAGCTAATACCATAACTCTCTCTTAGGTTGCTGGAAGGTTTGACGCAGATTTCATCAACCAGTTCCCATCAAGCTGCAAATACATCTGCCGGTGTTTAAAGTGGCGGAGCAAAGGGCCAATTGTTAGTCAAGTTATCCTAAAAGCAGACCCTAAGGTTTCCGCCAAGGTGATGAGGTGAGCGACTCCCCCCTCTCGAGCGACTTGCTCACCCCTCCAGGTGAGCGGCTCACCCATCTATTGCGCACCCCAAAGATCCTTATTATGTACGATGTTACTTTTCTGAATTACGCACTCACATTCTGCTCTCTATCCTACTAGGCACCCGGAGTCCTATGGTTCATACTACAATGAAATTACACATCTCTACCATAGCGACCCTTGTCTCGCCTACCCCGGCCCTCGCTACAGGGAACGGCCCTTACAATGATGTATGAACTTCCCTGCCACCCTCTCCATTCACTTGACTGTGGCGCTCTTCAATAGATCCTTAGATCTAACTACTAATAACAGGCCCACTCAATAGATATCACCCTCCCTCACCATATAATCTACATGCCCCGCAGCCTGCTAACCAACAAATCCCTCCCCGTGCTAATCTGAGGTAATAGCGCTTGCTCTGCAAATAGCATGCTCTTTAGTAACATACTCGTACATATTAGCTCTTATTGCTTTATTAGTATTACGTTGAGCCGCCTTAATGGCCGCGTCCATACCAATATTAAGTATATAAAAATCATTCTTGACTAGATCAAGTAGCACGTGGGGACGCAGGGTAAATACATGACTATTAATAGAATGCGCGTTGTAGTTACTAGCTAGAGTAATAACAGGCTCAAGGCATAATAAGTATAGGATAAGACACGTGTATACTCTATAGTATCTATGTATCTTTAATAGTAGGTTTTTAGATGTTCCCAGGTTCCTGAGACAATTGAGAATGTGAATTTACCTGTGTTTTACTTTTTGGGCGGGTGGAGGATATTGCGTATCTGAATATGTGTTATCTATTTTTTCTTCTTCTTCTTCTTCTTCTCATTCGGGTCATTTTAGACAATGGAGTGGAGAGATCAGTGAGGGTTGACAGACAGCTGCAGGGCATGGCGGATTATGCGGCGCTGTCTGGCGTGCCAAAGTAGGTTGACAACTTCCCCGTCGCCACATGGGTATGTATGCCAAGCCAGAGGGAAGAGGGTTTGGGGTTGTGGCTGTAACCTAGCCTAAGTAGGCGTTAAAGAAGGGTATAAGCCAGGCTAAGTAGTTTACTGGTGGTGGTGCTGAGGTGGCAGGTTGGGAGGAGGTTGCAAGCGCGGGCTTGGATGACCTCTTGACCTTCTAGAGCTAATCTATGATTATGGTTGGATAATATCTGGAGTGATTTAAGGTATTATGCTTTTATTTGCAGATTCTCTTTCCCTCCTTGCGTATGGAGGCAACATGATGTGCTGGCTGTTTTGTATTTGAGAAGCAAAATAATGAAACTTACAGTGGAGGTAGCCAGAGTGCTTGACCTATCTGTTTTATAGGAAACGAGAAGAATTTTGATCAGCGAGAATTTCAATTTTAGGTATTCCCGCTGTTACTCTAAACGTACACGAAAATCTTGTCCACCTCTTGTTGCTTATAGTACAATCGCGAGCTGCTTGTTCTTGGCGGCTTAGCATGAACCGCAGAAATGGATAGAGGATCCCTGGCTAAAATGATTCTAGATGTAGAGCGTCTTTTCTAAGCTATTGCTCCACTGGATACTGAACTCAGCAGCCACCGCCATACCCAAAAGCCTGTGATAGCGGAGCGTTGGTGAATCAGGGACAGAATATCTTACTAGTTGGGTGGTATTCGTTTATAGAAATGTGGTGTCTTGCGTAAACCAGCTCCCACTCACTAACAACCATCCTTCTAGGGCTCACATCATCCAAGTCACAGCCGAGGTAAAGGACATAGGGCCGGGTATGCCGGCTGTCAGATCTATTAATCTCAGATCCTAAC